GTCTTTATTTTACAGTTAAAATGTATGTTTATCAAATAAAGTCTAATGTTACAACTAATCAGGGATCCCTTTAAGCAGCAGAGGGAGATGAGAAGTGCAAGTATGGCAAGCACTTGTGTCATATAACTCATGCTTTGAAACTGATAACAGGAATTGTTTTTCCATTCTAGCACACACTCACCGAGAGGTTTGGTGCGAGTGTTTCACCTTTTACTCGTTTTGTATTTGCACATTGGGAGATTACGTTCAGTTCTTTTAATGTTTATCAAATTGAGGTTGAAACAATTAAAGCAAAAACTCCTCGGTTTAGTTTGATTCATTTATTTTCTTGTACAATTAAGATATTAATACTTTTCTGGAATTTATTAAACCTTCTGTTTGACTCATGGACCCTGTTCATATTGAAACAGAATGAAAAGTTAAGCACATTGTTACACTCTTAATATTTAATTTACCATGAATTATCTCCTCATAAGATTTAACTATGGTATTACCTGTAAGATGCTTGGAATGCCATTTATGGGTTAGTAGAGGTTAGGTTTAGGGCTAAGGTGTGTTTGAGGTTGGGTATGCAGGGTGGTTTAGTGTAGGAGTCACGTTTAWACTACTGAAATAATTGGAAATCAGTCCTATTAAAGGTAAAAATATAAACGTTTCTATGTATGCAGTGCCTTCGTAAAGATGCAGAGTCGAGGAGAAGGGAGCTSCACATTCGCACCTACGCTGTGATCCCCCTCAACGAGGAGTGCGGCATCATCGAATGGGTCAACAACACGGCTGGGCTGCGACACATCCTCACCAAGCTGTACAAAGAGAGAGGTGCGCTCACAWGTGAGGGAAGTGGAAGTGAATGTGGTGAAAAGTGGAATGACTTCGCTGTGACCTTTTCTTTCTCTAAGGTATCTACCTGTCGGGTAAAGAGCTGAGGAAGCTCATCCTGCCCAAATCAGCTCCCTTTGAGGAGAAGCTACGCATCCACAAGGAGGTGCTGTGTGCTCGACATCGTCCCGTCTTCTACGAGTGGTTCCTCCGAACATTTCCTGATCCAACATCCTGGTACGTTACCACTCTGCAACATTTACTTTTAATAGGAGCAACTGATCTAATAGCTGGGTTTCAGTCACGTGGCTTCGAAGGCGGAGCGATCTCCGCTGGAGGGCAGGGGGTAAAATGTCTATGGAGGAAACTACTGTAGAGAGTTTATATTGTATGGATTTAGATCCTATTTCAAGATATATAACAACAGTTTGTTCACAAATACAGTATGTCAGACATGACTCATATGATGAAGATGAATGAGTTTTCGACAGAACCTAAAGATTTGCTGAGGCTGTCGGTACCACACACGTCTTACATCACCAGCAGGTGGTGCCAAATAATAACCAGCAAAAGTTTATCTGATGAATAATTCCACACGATTTTGCCCAACCCTATGACAACATATGATAACACTGATTATCATACACAAAGATGAAAAATGTAGAAAGCTCACAGAACGACAACGTAAAAAGTGGATTTTGCTGTCGGGAGGAGGAACAGAAAGCCGGTGTCTGCAGGCAGCGGCCACTACATCAGAGGTATGTAAGCTGCTAACTTGTTTTAGAAGTTATATTTATAATGATCGTTTATTTAGTAGTGAGTATTAAGTTACTGGTAGTTTAATGTGGACCTCATCTGGACTTTAGGCTGCTTTAGTTCTGTCGTTAGCTGCTGGAAGTTTATTGACGTTAGCCACTACTGCTRGCATGAACTTAACAAATAAAACAATATCAGAAAAAACACTCACCCTGGCAAAAAACAAAYGATAATCATYGTGGAGYTGTTTGGTASCRAGGTTGTGGATCCACCCGCTRAATAAAAAGTTCTACACCTCCCGTTGTTTACAGGCTTTCATCAGCTGTTCGGTGTAATTAGCATCCAGTTAGCGCCACACCGTCTGCCCGGTAGACCGGTAACGGGACCGTAGAGTCCGCTCGGTGCTCGATCTTCTTCTCTTCCCTCTTATAATCGAAATAGTGAATCACCTACTTCCTCATCAAAGTCCTCACTCTGTCTCCGACTGTTTTTCCTCCATCTCTGCCTTTGAGCTCCTCTCTCAAACTCTGGCTCGGTCCACCTCAGCAGCTGGACTGGAGCTCCACGTTCATTGCCCTTTTTTTTTTGCATCAAAGACACTAAAATAACTAACTAAACTTCACCCTAACTATGAAATATAGTTATACAAATATAATAAATGTAATAAATTTCGGATATCTCATTGCTGACTTCCAATCTTGCTGTCTCTCCATCGCAGCCGAACTTTATTCAACTTCAGCCTCTTTTTATTTTTATCCTCCTGTAGATTTTTTGCCGCTTGTCTAATATTTTCAGGCTTCAGTCAGAAATGAGTTTGGGTGGTTTAGGTTTGTTCGGCGGGGTGGGGGTGACACCACAGGGTGGAATGAGGTGTTTTTTCCCCTATTTTACATCCTCCTGCTGCAACATGCCTCAAATATGACGAACATTAATAAAAAGAGCCATAATTTAATTTAATTTAATATATAATTTAATCAGTGTATAATTATTTATTATTAATTCAGTTAGAATGAGTGGAGCACTCGTAAACTACACAAGATATGGGCATTTTTTCMGATAGCAGATCCTCCACTTTTTCACTTCCGACCTCCATCCGAACTTSGCGCTCTAGTGGCGCTGCATCGTGACGTCACGTGAAACCCTCCTATTGAACATGTGCTGTTATTAGAARCTGTTTCACTCATGTATGTTTGTTTTGTGTATTTGTTTGTTTTGTGTATGTGTGTGCACATGAACAGGTACAGCAGTCGCTCAGCATACTGCCGCTCCACGGCCGTCATGTCCATGGTGGGCTACATCCTGGGTCTGGGAGATCGCCACGGAGAAAACATCCTCTTTGACTCGTTCACTGGAGATTGTGTTCACGTYGACTTCAACTGCCTCTTCAACAAGGTTTGTCTTCATCTCTGTGATAAAACATGGCTATTAAAACCAACAATAAGTTATAAAATAGTTTTGGATTTAAAATTTACAAACCACTTTTTACTTTGTACTTGTCTCGTGCTCTTCCTTCTGTCCACTAGGGGGAGACATTTGACGTGCCAGAGGTGGTTCCTTTCCGCCTGACCCAGAACATGGTTCATGCTATGGGGCCCATGGGCACCGAGGGCCTGTTCAGGCAGGCCTGTGAGGTCACACTAAGACTGATGAGAGATCAGAGGGAATCGCTCATGAGGTAAATTTAAAAAAGTTAGAAATGATGATTTTTTTTTTATTACTATACCAAAACGTAAAGGCTTTAATATTTACTTATGAATAAAACTGTTCACAAGTCAATCATCCTGTATGTTGTTTCTGTGACAAGTTTCCCTGTTTGTTTGTTTGTTTGTTTGTTTGTTTGTTTGTTTGTTTGTTTGTTTGTTTGTTTGTTTGTTTGTTTGTTTTAGTGTGCTTAAAACCTTCCTTCACGACCCTCTGGTTGAGTGGAGCAAACAAGGCAAAGGACTATTAAAAACTCCAGCCAATGAGACGGGAGAGATCGTTAATGAAAAGGTCTGTGCCTTCTTGGATTTCATTTCCAAACAAGCAAATTGTCTGAACCTAAAAGTGTGATATGTTTTACGGTATTTTTCTCTCCTCCAGGCGAAAACCCACGTGTGTGACATCGACCAGCGTCTCCAGGGGGTGATAAAGAGCAGGAATAAAGTGCTGGGTCTGCCTCTGTCAATAGAGGGACACGTGCACTACCTAATCCAAGAAGCCACAGATGAAAAGCTGCTCTGTCAGATGTATTTGGGCTGGGGTCCGTACCTTTAAAGGACCCCCTCCCCTCCTTGTAACTACTGCACTTTGGACTGTTGAAAGTAAAGAGAAGCGATGGGTCAGAATTTGTTTCCCCTGAAGTTTCCTACATTGTTTTGAAGTTTCACATGTTCAGGACATGTTTGATACATGTGACTGTTTTTTTTTAATAAAAATATGTTTATTTGTAAATGTGTGGGTGTGTCTTTTAATCCTCCCCTTAGATCCACAGAAGCAGCACACTGTCAGGTGATTATTTTTAATCTCTGCTCTGCTTACACCGTGTGGCTCAATCAGCTCCATGTTTGTTTTTTTCCCCACGATGTTTAGGAAGCTGCAGAAGAACTGGATRAACGTACCAGTTTAACGTAGGTGCTGTGCTGTAGTTTGTTATGCAGCCATGGAGGTTGAGCTAGTAATTCTCTCCAGTACACAGGAGAGAGTCTCGGCCAGGCGGAGAAGACTGGGCTGGACCCGGAGCTGGAGGAGCTCCTGGCCCGGGCAGACTCCACCAAGACCTGGACGGACCAGATAATCTCACAGACTGAGATTTTACTGCAGCCTAGTCTGGGTGAGACTAACTCATTTAGTAGTGTCTAATTTAAAGGTTTAATGTTATACCAACATAAATAAATAATAATAAACTGGTCTGACTTTTCAAACTCTCATAATGTTTGTTATAAAAGGAAACTGTAAAAGACTAAACTATAAAACAAAATTAATTAAACATTAAAAAGATGCTAATACAAAACTTTACAGACATTTCCAATTAAAATCTTGAGTTCAGCACCATGGACAGGGCCTCAGTTTAACAGGTCAGTCTGGTCAGGGTGATGGATAATTTTGTTTGTATTGTAGCCACTTGTTAAAGTGGCAAACACCCCCTAAAAGTCACTAAAATAACTTGAAGCAGATAAAAGTACAATAAAACGTTTTTTATTAAGCACCTAAAAAACAACACCACTGTTGGCCAAAGTACTATACACCAATTAAAAAAAAACACACACAAAAGCAAACATCAAACCAATTCAAACAATACAAAATAATGAACCGTTAAAATCATAAAAACAATAAAATAAGAAATATTTAAAAACAAATAATGAAACAGGGATTTTGACAAAAAAAGGTAATACACCTTAAAAAAWTTTATTTAATTGGACCATAATGTCATCTGTCAAATCTGGCCTTCTTTATCATTTTATCCAACCCTAAAGGTAATAGTTTAAATGTGAAACAGTTTTTACAGTTTTGCTTTATTTCACTAGATTTACTGTCATCTTCTCATAACAGCTGTCGAACTTTCAAGCCAAGAAAATGAATTTTCCAGTAATCTTTGATTTTTGGTGYGGAAGGAGCAAAAGAGAATTGACTTTAATTTTCTTTATCTGTTCTCTTCTTATTTTAAAGTCAAATAATTGAATTTTTAGTGAGTATTCTGTTTGTTTTTTTACCAAATTTGCTGGATTGTGAGAAAATGTTTCTAAGAAATGCTTTATTRAAATGTTGAAAGAGAGTAAAAGGTAAAATAAATGGATGTTGATAATGAGTCTGTAAATTTAATTTATATATTTTTATCCATTATGTAATGTATTTTTTAAATGCTACATTTCTTATAAAACATTTTTCAATAAATATCACTGTAACAGAAATCGGTCCTTGGCTTGGACCAGGTTTTGAATTTTGGCCTCTTGGTGTAACTGAGTTTGGAACCCAGTCAGTCAGTATTACAGATWTTTTGTGAAGATTGTGAATTTATGGGGTTTAAGGTACAGCTAAAAGGCAGAAGGGGTTGTCATGCATGTGTAGACAACCTTCCTGGATGTGACTACAAGAGGAAATCTGATGGTAAATTGAAAAGACTAACAACTGAGACTCTGTGGATGGATTTAAAACCTGCTGCTCAGAGATGCTCTCCATCCAGCCTGATCTGTAGAGAAGTCTGAGCAAAAACTGCAAATCTGCCAGAGACAAACCCCAAAGGGCTTGCTGCTGTAATTACCATGACAGGTTCTGTAAATAATGATTTAGTCCCATATTTTGCCCTCAAACACACAGTCCTGTGAGCCTTCAGCACACATTTATAGCTTCTTTAATCCWATGCTGTGCTCGAACTCTCCAGTAAAAACACACATCCAACATGGCTGCTGGCTCTGACCGTTACTGGCTTGTCAGATAAATAGAGTTTGGGTTTATTTTTCTTCTTTAAATCAAATTTCYTCAGCTAATGGAGTTTTGAGTAGATCTGGTCTGCAACCCATCCAATAAGTGAACTGTTCAGCTGCCAGAAGCGTTCAGGATATGTTCTCGTATAACCTCATGTTCGGCTCACAGAAGGCTTTTGGTCTCACTCAGCAATCTTTTTATTTCTTTCTTTGTTTAGATCAGGGATGGRCAACTGGCAGCTGCTTTCAGTGGGTTTTTTTTCTTTTAGAAAAAAAAAAACCAAAATGATCTTTTGTGGGGAGGTAAGCTGTTTACAGAATTTCAAGGCAAACCTTTGTATTTCATCTGCTTAGAGACGCTGTCTGCCATGAAGGATTTTACTACAAGTCACCACTACAGCACGCTGCACAATGCTAAATATGAGAAGTTTACTGAAGTCACAAGTACAGAAAAAACTGTGACATTTTACTAGAACCAAGCAGGAATCTGCACTCAAAGCACCTTATGCTGTTGCACTTCAGCTCACTGAAGTAAATGTTTATTATATGTGACCCATCGCATCGAAACAGGGATTAAGTCCAAAAGTGGGATGTGGAGAAATAGGCAGATATGGGGTTTTGATTTAAACGTGGGCAAAAATAGCATTTTGTCAAAATATAATGAATAAAAGCCTTCAATGTATCATTTGAATGAACTGTCTGAAATATAATCATAAAAAAATTTTGAAGCATTTTTTTGAGCAGTAAGAACAAAAAAAACTGATTTTGAGGAAAAACGCCTTAAAATTTAGATTTTTTTCCCCTGTGAGCTAGAAATGTTTTTGTTTCTTTCCAACTGGTAAATCTTAACATAAATATAATATTTGATGTTTCCTCTTCATATTAATATCAAAAATTACTCAAAGGTACATAAAATCAGGAGTCAGACCAAACAGTAATGAATTATTGTGACCAACAAGACGAATTACGTCATATCTCTGGATCTGCTGATGATATCAGAACGATCCAGGTATCAAAATGTAGCTTTTAATGTCTAGAATCTGAAAATGTAATTAGGTCATTTTGACCAAATTTGATTTAATCCTCATTTTTAAATGATGGGTCACATTTTTGTTTGCTTCAAATGTTTTGTATTTATATTTTATTAAACAAGAGTACAACTACATGCACTTTAGCATGAAGTACATTAATTTACTGCATTGTAACTATCAATCAATCACCTTTATTTAACCAGGTAGAGCCCGTTGAGATGGAGATCTCTTTTACAAGGGTGACCTGTCAGGTGGTCATCAGCACACRTCACATAGTAATTGACAAAGCATTTGCATTGATCAAAACRAAATAAGGAAAAGAATAAAAAGAAAACTACAATCAAAATAAATAGATGTTGACAGTTCAGAAACATCTGGATAAGAAAGAATTCTATAGGTACAGTATTTACAGTATTTGGTAGACCTGAAAAGAAATTTAGGTGAGAAAAATAAGTCAATGAATAAAAACAGACATCGTTTGAGTAGATAGTTAAAACAAAAACCAACAGTGACATGTATAATGGATAGGTAATGTTTAGAAACATCTGCAATGTTTCCTGATGACGTTATCTATTACGGTTGACATGAAGGATCTAGGAGGGATGAGTGTTGRCAGTTTCAGATCTGTCTGTAAGTTGTTCCAGGCTGAGGGGGCTGCGAAACTGAATGCTCTTTTTCCTAGTTCAGTTCTGACTGGAGGCACTGATAGGAGGACTAGATTGTTAGAGCGCAGGGAGTCATAACTGTGTGATGTTTGTATTAAGGAGTATGACGGGACAAGGTTTTGTAGGGTCTTGTAGATGATGGATATCCAGTGGGTGTATCTGCGGGCGCTGAGAGATGACCAGCCAGATTTGACGGAAAGGTCACTGTGATGAGTCTGATACAGCGGGTAAAATAAGTATTGAACACGTCACCATTTTTCTCAGTAAATATATTACTAGAGGTGCTAATGACATGAAATTTTCACCAGATGTTGGTAACAACCCAAG